TGTGTGTGTGTGTGTGTGTGTGTGTGTGTGTGTGTGTGTGTGTGTGTGTGTGTATGTGTGCTTTCAGGTGTTTGCCCTTCTTTCATACCGAATCCCATAAAGTGTGCAAATTCTCACTATGGCTCCAGGACTCACTAAACTGATCAGCAAAACATCAGGACCAGTAACAGGTATGTGGTTATTATGTTATGGTTAATAGCTGTGTTTTTTATTATTATAAAACCAAATGATTCATGAGCTTGGAAGCAGAACAGCCTCACTTCTGGGGAGTTGTCTGACACCACAGCTTCTTTCTTCAGGTCTCTCCTTGTCGTGTGTCTTTTGGATTAAGGTCAGCACTTTGATTTACCCGCTTTAAAACTTTAATCTTCTTTCATTTTTAATCAGTAAAACAATGTGTGTACTTTGGTGTTTTTTTTTCAGGATGTGCAGTTAAGCTTAAGACCTAAATCATGATACTACCACCACCATGCTACACAAACTGAGCTTTCTACACTGAAATAAACAGTTACATTTCATATAAATCAAAAGGTTCTGTTCAGATCTTTTATGTTCTAAAATATTCATACAATATCTGAATTCTCCACGTGATTTTAACAAACTACAACCTCAAATCCAGTGAAGTTGAGACGTGTAAAACATAAATAAAAGCAGATGATTTACAAATCCTCTTGAACCTATAATCAGTTGAATACACTACAAAGACAAGACATTTAATGTTCATACAGACATATTATGCTGTTTTTCTAAAAAAAATATTCACTCATTTTGARTTTGAAGCCTGCAACAGGTTCTAAAGAAGCTGGGACGGGGGCAATCGAAAACACATTCCACAGGTGAGCATTATAATTGGGTTTAAARGGTGCATCCACGAAAGGCTCAGTCATTCACAAGTAAAGATGAGGTGAGGTTCCCCACTTTGTGAACATCTGCAAGAGCAAATAGTCCAACACTTTAAGAATGTTTCTCAATRTACAATTGCAAGAAATTTAGKGTTCTCAACAGCATATTCTGATTTTACACTTTTTATGGTGTTATTTATGACTGGATGGTTGAATTCTGGAAAAAAAAAGCCATATTTTCAATTTAACATGTTTTAATTTWACAAACCTGAGCTTCAGTAGCGTGTAGAGCCATAAACAGTAACAACAGCTTGGTATGTACTCCATGGTCAGCAGCTTGGTCACACAATGCTGTGTTATATTCTTCAACCAGTATTTGTCTCAAGTCAGCCGTTGTGATTGGTTTGGTCACTCCAGAATGAACAGYACACCCAAGCTTTTGGTGTTTATTGGGATTAAGACTGCAAGTGAGGTTTTCAAACCTCTTCACTTCCAAATTCTGGAGGTAGTCTCTGATAAACCATGCTCTGTGGTGGTTAGTGTTATCTTGGAGGACGGAACTGGTCCCAGACAATGGACACTTGGGATTGACACTGGTTGCTAACGAGTGCTGATAATCAGGTACCAATTATAAATTTGATTTGATTTTCAGCACCTGCAGTACCAGAAGCTAAAAGCAAAAGTTTGTAGTAGAAGATTGTTTTTGTTGATGGCTGAGGATTTGGCTAATTTTTCATGTGTGCTGGACACATTCTGATCTTCAATCCACAGATACATTTTCTGAACAGATGTGGCACCATTAAGGACCATTTAAACATTCTTTTTCATGGTATAAAATTTGTTGTTAAGAAGATATTTTACAAAAAAGTACATTAATTTTTGTGCTGTCCCACTATGTAGTTAATAAAGTTAAACCAAGAAGAAGAAGAAAACACGAAGGAATTGAACTTGGATTTAGGGACTGATGGGGTTTTACAGGAAAGTCCAGGTTCTGCACAGATATTAATYAAAACTGTAGATTTACTTTGTGTATTTGAATGCTATTTGTGACAGACGCGAAGCCTCTGTAGATTATATTTAWGTTCATTCATATATGCATGTGGGTGGGAGGCCAAGATTGAATATAAAGTATGTTCGACTAATGCACAGGGTAATAATGTCCACCTGATTGTTTTATGCTAGAGCACCAGCTCTGTGAAACTTCCTCCTCCTCAGCCAGGTTTTAGATTAAGCKGATCTAGTTAAGATTCCCACTGTGGCATATGAAACTCCTGTCAAGGCTKCCTGAGCGCTACGGGTCCAGCATGCAGCTTGGATGACTGACACCGTGTCTCATTCTCCTCCGAGACTCTGAACTGTCAATAATTTAGCACCRAGGTGCTCCTCTGCAGGACGAGCACTGGGAAAAAGCTGTCGTCCCACGCTCACTTCATAATTTCTCTCTCAATCGAGAATTCCTTCCCCACCCCCATACTCCCACCACCACCACCCCACACATGGAGTCATTCTTTCTATATTGCACCACTTCAATAATTCAAAGTCAGATATGAAAGTCAATGAAATTTGCCATACCTCTGGTCATTACGATGCCTGCCAGGGATTTGTGTCTAGCGTGAGCCGGACTGCAGCCCCCCACCAGCGACCGGTACTTCTCCCTCACCAACTGGAATATTGAATTGGCAAARTCCTGGAAAACAGAATCGTTCCTTTAATTTTTACCAAACCCAGTCTGAGGTGTATGATGTTATTCTTGAATCTGTTTTGGTAAATCGTTTATTTCATACAGAAGTCACAATGTCCAAGCATCCAATTAATTTGGTTTCCTGTAGTCAGTTTCAGTGTTATAATTGAATAAAATTCACCTAACATGCACCTTTTTACAAAAAAAATGGTGGGGTATTATTGTACTTCAGTTTTTAGTACAATTTAATCCTGATTAAGTAAAAAGCTAGACACAAACATATGTATAACAACATACAGATGCACTGAATCGGCTCTGTAAAGAAAAATGTACATGCTGCTGAAAAGCAAAAGATTGATAATGATGTTTTTTTGTGTCTGTTAACAAAATATCTCAAGAATCAATGGTAAATTTTAACAAAACTCCAAGAAAAGAATCACTGGACGCACATCTACAAACTGATTCACTTTTTATTCAGCCCAATTTAAGATAGCTGCAACAAATATTTGAMCTTATAAAACACAAAAATGGCTGTGGCTCAATCAGTTTTGCAGGAAGTATGCTAAAACTTGGTGTGGTAGTAGCTGAGAGTCATTCCCAACTTGCACTCCAAGCAYGAACAGTCATGATCCTTGTGTATTGGTTGTATTCCTTGTGATATGCCACTTTTTTAGTTCTGTTTTCTTCCCAGTCTGTGTTGTAGTTGTGCCCAGCTCCCCTGTGTCATTTCTCATTTCTCCCCCAGTCAGCCTTCAGCCCTGCGCCTCCCACTCATACCTGCTCCTCATTGTCCTCCCCAGGAGCCCTCATTTAAATACGGTGCATACATAACCCACTGGATGGATATAAATTCAGCTTTCAGAYGGTATAATTGTTGACTCAACAACTGATCAAGCTGTTTCTCCAAACTGAGGTTGTTCAAAGAGCTATGCACTACAGGTAAGATATTCATTGTTCATAATCTTTGCATTAAACCCCACTTTAAAATATTTGAAGTATCTCTTCAAGTTGACAGAAAGATGAATAAATTTAAATTATGTTTTATATTAGTGTGATTTTCTGTTGAGACTCACTATAAAAACATATGGCATGAACTAACACAGACAGAAAGATTTAA